TATATATATATATATATATTTAACAACATTTAAATATTTAATGTATTATTTTTTTAAAACCTTAAGGTTACCCTAGTACCCAGTGGCTATAGCGATGTCTGCGATTTCACGACTGACAACTATCTGGTAATGCGATTAACTGTAGTACGCAACTCTACGTAGTCTCTCAAGAAAATATTTAAGGATAACAATTTAACAGACAGACACAATGTACACAACAACATTTACACCATACCTAGAAATTCTGACCTTTTTAATTCACTTTTTAGTTAGGAAAATAAATCTAAGCACACATTAAATATGTTATTTATTTCCATGTTTTTATTTTTCATTGTTTTGAAATAAAACAGCTCCGTGCGAAACAGTGCTGTCTGGAAGACACCAAACACGTAACCCTCTGAATAAACTCTGCAATCCAGTCCTAATCGTCGGGTTGAATAGGTCGAAATTTCTAAGGCATTCTCTTAGATCTTTTAAAGGGAGTTTCAATGTACGCCTACTTAAAACAATAAAGCATAATCAAACAGATACGGGTGTTCACTGGGTTTTTTTTTTTTTTGTTCTCTCACATTTTCAACAAAGACCAACGAGGTGAATACTTTGCCAAAAGAAACTTTCTGATTCATCAATCTGGAAAATATTTGGGCTTTTTACAAATTATATAAATATTAATATACATTTTTGTTTGCTTTGTGTGTGTTAAAGTCAAAGTTAAGCGTTTGTGAAAGAGCGCCGAGATTGTGTGTGTTTAAAAAAAACACACACAATCTCGGCGCTCTTTTACAAACGCTTAACTTTGACTTTAACACACAGAAAAAACTTTAATATTAAATCAATGGTTTCTAGTGTGCAGTGAGTCCGTGTGAGCACTGCGGACATATCGCAAAGTTTAATATGTCTTCAATAAAAAAGAAATTGTGGTTCCACCTCCTGCGTATGTTTATTCTCCCGCGTGGTCAAAGTCAAGGCTAAAACACTAGGGCTACTGACTAAGTGCATTATTATTATTATTATTATTATTATTATTATTATTATTATTATTCAGGCCTCTAAGCTTTGAATGGGATGTCCTGACCACTACAGTACTTTCCACCGTCGTCACTAGATGGCGATGTAAGCTTATATTTCAGCACAGACCAGCCTCAACTGATTTATTTCCTCTAATCCCAGAGCCAAACGGGAGTCTACAGCACAGTTCAAATATTTGACTTTCTAAATAGAATTTGTATATAGCATTTCTGGATAAAGTTCACCTCAAACCCAGCAAAGCCACTACGAGATAGTATAACTGTAAAAGCTGGCTGTGCGTCTCTACAGCAAATCTGTGGGCCTTCATCGTATTTTAAATTCCTATCTCGTAAAAAAGGAAAATTCGCCTTTTTTTGTTCTTAAGTAAGGTAAATACGTTTAAAGGAAAAATAATGTTTATATTAAATTGAGCTATAATCACTCAAATAAACTCAAAGGATAAAAACTTAGATAAAATTCAACCAAGTCCATTTTTTATTGGGACGGACTTTAACGCCGATATATTGGGACTCACACACAACCTGGATATCACGCCGGAATTTACTTTTACACTTATTTACAAACACAAGAATATGCACACACATTATAAAAGCTATGATTGACATGAACACACATCAGTCATATCATATGACGATTATCTAAGCATGATAATAAGAATTGCACCATGGACTGAATATGCATGAGAGCACGGATTCATATGATAAAACTACACTTCATACAAGTTAAACATGTGGGTAGGTTTTAAAAAAAAAAAAAAAAAAAGAAGAAGAAGAAGAAGCCGGGATTGATTAATATTTAACATCCCCGAAGGTCCAAATTCGTCACACCGTCACTTCCTGTGAATCTTCCATTTATCGCTCTCGTTAAAAAGTTGTAGTCTAGATAAAGGTGTAGCTCGGTGGCGCACACACCTGAGGTCACTTTGAGAGTGAGCATGCCAAAAGAAAATAATAATAATATTAACAAGAAGAAGAAGAAGTCACGCCTACTGCAGCTATACATTTTCTCTTTTCTCCCACTTGAGTCTCTGAACAATATTTAACAACAAGTAGCAGGAAGAGGTGGGTCCGGAAAGTTTGTCTGGGGAGCTCCGGGAAAACATTTGCCTACATACATATGAATCATAATCGGTCATGAAAGAGCTGCTTGCCCTAATCCATGTGTCCGTTTGTGTGTGTGTGTGTGTGTGTGTGTGTGTGTGTGTGTGTGTGTGTGTTGTGTATGTGTGCGCGCGCTCAGCAGTGCAGTTAAACTGCTAATAAATGTGTAAAAAAAAAAAAGAAAAAAGAGAAAAA